CCACCACTTGCCAGCCTGATTAGCCCCTATCAGAGAGGGCCGGCCGACACCACCCGTGTACAAATTCAGACAGGCAGGCGAGTGGTTAGGGGCAATCAGGTAGGCAGAGGGGTGCACCAGGCCTCTAGTATAATATAAATATAAAAATCACATTTGTTAATGTCACCACTGCTCTCATCAGAAAAAAATAGTTAATTACTGGGAAGCTGACAAATTCATGGTGATAGATACAAGTTTTACAAAATCTTCATTTTTGCCTGAAAACAGTAATTTAATCATTGGCCACACATATTGTCAATTATTTTCCTTGAAGTAACAGGCTCATTTCACTCATTTTTTGGAAAATATCTGTCAAAATACTTAAGTCCGAATAGCCACAGTTTGTCTGTCAGTTGTTCTTTCCAATAAAAATGGTTTCCATGGAAAAGCAGCTGATTCAGCTTAAGACTCAAATTGTATAGGGGCCTTTCCAAGAGATAATCATTGTACTTCAGTATGAAATACAAGTGCTTTATGACTGTTTCCCATTTTATCACACAAAATACTTTAAAAATATGTGTACTCAAGGGTCAGGATATAATTCTTACTCCTTCATCAAGGGCATCATTAAATAAAGTTGGTTCCCCCACTCCCTAACAAGTGTGTGGCAATGAAGAATACAATGATTATTAGAACGGTTTGATGCCTTTGTCCTAATTCATATTTGGGTACCAGCAGTTTTACTGAGCATTGCTTTTGCAACATCTGTGCAAAAGTCAACACACCTAAAAAGGTATATAATGTCTTAGTATTGTTATAAAAACTGTTTTGACCTTAAAAACTCTCTGAAAGGTCTCAAGGAATCTGTTGGGACTGCAGTCCATTCTACAAACCACTGATATAAACCCATAAATTTCATGTAAGAAAGAGAAATACTGCAAACAAATGACAGTTTCAAAGGTGCACTACCATTCCTTCTTCAAGATCCAAGGTGAGAACGACAATATCATGAAGTATCATTTCCTTTTGCTGGTAGAACCTGGTCAGAAAATTTCCTGACTCGCCCCTGCCAGGTTTAATCTAAAACATAGTATGGTAGACATGATCTTTGTGGATCAACACTTTTATAACAGGAGAAGCAGCAGAAAGTAAACCTGTTTAGCACTCATAATCAACAGCAAAGACAAAGCCTTTTAACATACTGGGTTGGCTACTTAAGTTCATGAAAATCCACAGATAGTATATAAAGGTATTACCAGTTAAGTCAAAGATAAAAACTTAGGCGCTTTCAATACTTAAAAAAATATGTATGGTATTACTACATGTCTTAGAGGCCTATCCAGAATGTGGGTCCTGGCCAAAAATGACATTCATAAAACTGAACAGATTAAGATTAAATAAGCTTTGTTTTTATTTGTTATTTTTAATTAATATATCAATTATATTTATAAAGTATCCATAGAAAAAGCTATGCAAAATGTTAAAGCTGACTTCATAGGGAAAATGCAAAACTATAATAATAAATAAGTCAAAGTTGAAGACAATCCAAGTAATATGATATTCAAATTTATATTTTCATCAATAGATATGTTATAAGCTGATCTTTGTTACCAAAACAAAGTATTATTCGATAAACTGAGATGGACATTTAAAATGTCATTAGGTTATAGATTTAATTAAAGGTACATAAAGTAGAAGAGGCCAGTTTTTCTTTTTAAATAAAGCTCAGGAACACAATTATTACTAATAAAACATTAGGATTCTTGTTTTCCTAAGCATCACCTATAAACTCATATTCATTAACTGGCAGTAATGGTTATGTAAGCACCTGGAACAAAACTTCTTTACTAGTACTGGAGCAATGGTACATAATTTGGTTGGAATGAAACTGTGAGAATATTTAGCAGTAGAATATCTAAAACTGCTCTGAAAAGCTGAAATGAGAGGTAAAGTGGAATGATAGTTACACCTAACCCCTAGAGTGCCAGGGAACGCGATCACGCTCCTCCTGTCTTTCGCCAAAAGTGCCGGGAGCGCTTGTTCAAATTTTTTTTTTCTACTAGTATTTCATGATACAATCAGCAAACAATATATGTCAAAGATGAAAACAAATGTAGTAAAGGTTTCCTTAAGTTTTTGAATATGTAACTTCATTTACTTGCAATTCATAATTTTTTTTCCTAAACTGCTGTAAAATCAGCAAAAATGCCTTGGCAATTTTAGCATAGTTCCTAGGATATTGGTTGGCACTCAAAGGGTTAAAGTAATGCAAATATGAGCAGGATAGGAAAGAAAGGCAGAGACAGATAAACCCAGGAGGTTGCAACCTAAATGGCATAATTCTGCTGAGTCCAAACACCAATACATATAATTTGGTTAAAAACAGGCTTGCATACAGAGCAGGTTTTCCAAAGTTCTATTGCTGCAGTCTGGCTAATCTTACATTCATTTGCCCTCTCATACACAGAACAAGTGCAAAAAATATATATTTAGGTAAATAAATGAATACAAATTTCACAACAGGATTTTTCTGATTCTGTCCAACTGACTGAACAAAAAAGATATATCCTCAGCCCTAACCGGTTTGGCTCAGTGGATAGAGCGTCGGCCTGCGGACTGAAGGGTCCGGGGTTCGATTCCGGTCAAGGGCATGTACCTGGGTTGCGGGCACATCCCCAGTAGAGGGTGTGCAGGAGGCAGCTGATCGATGTTTCTCTCTCATCGATGTTTCTAACTCTCTATTCCTCTCCCTTCCTCTCTGTAAAAAATCAATAAAATATATTTTAAAAAAAGATATATCCTCAATGATATGTAATTTGAGAATTTAACAGAAACAAAAGTGACTCGCAGAGAGAATTCTTTACATGCTCACTCCCATTATGGGTTCACTATATAAAGTTTTTTGTTTTGTGTGTGTGGGTGGGGGGGTGGGAGGGGGGGGGGGGGTGAACTTAGACTATATCAAAATAAGTAGATTCAAGAGGTCTACAGGTTGCAAAAAGTATAACCTACCCATAACAGGCCAGACTATGAAGCTGCATTTGTTTCTTTCTTGGTTTATTTAATATTTTGGGCACTTCCATTCAGATTTATTAATTCAAACAAACACATTCTAGTACTACATGTTTCTCTCAGACTGGATACACCATCTTCCCTTGCTCTCATCCTGGGCTAGTCTTCATGAGGTTTTTAATTCATGGCTCGCAGATGAACATCAGATAACACATAAACTGTCTCAAGTCATATGTACATGTATGTGGATATTTCAGTGCATGCACATATTTCTCAGAAAAAGGCCCATAGTTTTTATTAGATTCTCAAAGGAATCCTAGATCATCTTGAAAAATTTCCTGATACAGGAAATTCCTTCACTGGTTAGAAGTCTGGTAAGATTATCCTTAAGGTCCTAAGAAACTAAGGATATGATGTCCTAGAGAAGATGGATAGAAAACCTTCAGTTATTTTTGCCACAAATACCAGGAATTATTAAAAAATCATTCTTTAACAGTTCAGGGATAAAAGGCTCTTCAAAATGCAACTGGCAACTTGTGTGACAAGCTCTGAGTATAAGTAATAACAAAGATGACTATCAATTGCTAAGTGAAAATCACCTGATGATTCATAATGGGAAGCTTACACTGTTAGTGTTACTAGCACTTCAATTAATGTTGATAAAGTCTGAAAGTTGGAGTATTTTAATTATTTAAAAAGCCAGCAAAAGATTTTAATTTTTAAGTGTTCCCGTAGGCTAAATAGCCTATCTTCTAAGTACCTGAACGCCTATCCATATCTTAAATGACGTAGCAATACTGTGAATAGATAAAACCCTTCAACAATCTACTTGTCCACCTACATCGCACCTGAAGATTTTACACAAGATACCAGACTCAGAATAGGGCAAACCCTTCAAACCCAAACTAGTGTCACAGTTCTCTCCCGAGGAAGGAAGATTATGAAAAATCAGATTCCTGATCAGCAGAGACAAGTTCATACATTCAGTTTCAGGCAGAACCAAACATTCTGGGCATATGCTTTCACTGAAACCTGGAGTAAATAAATGGCCAAACTTGAAAAGTTACTTGTTATAGGGTCCTCCACTTCCTCCATAATCATAGGACTGCTGTGACTGGTCGTCGATGCTGTAACTTGTCTGGTAGAAATCCGTGTTTAAGTTATCAAAGCCTGACATTGCAAACGATCTGCAGCAGGAGAGAAATGGGAAAGGCTGCTTATGCTCAAGATCCTACCGAATTCATTCCTGACACTTTGCTCAAGCAAACGGCCCCAAAAGGCAGCAAATAGTTCTTCTGAAATGTTGCGAAGCAGCATTTGGAGGGTGGGATGGAGCGGGGCGGGGCGGGGGTGGCTAAGGAAACGTCTAGTCTCTTAAGTCCAGGCCAGGAAAGGTACGTCCACTTCTAGGAACTGATAAACCCTGGGTTAGGGGCGGGGTCGCGGGAGGAGTGGCTCCGCTGGGTGGAAAATAACAACAAGGACCCCTTTTCACCTCGAGGCTGGGATTTACAACGGACAATACGGCTGCCTCCTCGCAACATAAGGCCGGGGACTGCCAGGAAAGTGCAGACTCCTGGGAGGCCGCGCCTTTGGTGCAGAGGCCGCGTCACAGCCAGGACTTGCAAGGGAGCGAGGGTTTGAGGAAAGGACCCGACGGTGCCGAAAGGCGGCCACAAGCCGCGCCACCCCGGGGTGGGGAGAAGCCGAGCAGTGCCACGGGCCTGGGACACTCACCAAACGCCAAGGCGGCGGCAGAAGCTCCCGCGGCGCCAGATAATCGCCCGAACTCCGCTTGGGACCCTGAAGAGGCACCCGTTGCTACGTGTCACAGGCCAAAGAACTGCTTCCGGGGCACGCCCCTCTCGCGCAGCCGTGTTGGCCGATTTCGCTCTCATTGGTTGGGCACCAGTGGGCGGGGAACCTGATACGTGCATGCGCAATATGGACCAATGAGAAGAGGGGAAATACTTCCGGCAGCCTGGTTAACGGTAGAGGCGGAAAAGCGCAGGCGCAGCAACTGTTACTCGCTATTTGCGGGAAGGAGAGTTCGGAGAGGGTGCGTTTGCTCCGGTGCAACTGTAGAAATGCGACGGAGAGAGCCTGTCTCCTGTCCACCAACTAACGAACCTCGGTCTCTCTGCACTTACTGTGATCCAGGCACTCTGCTAAAGAGTTTATGTGTGTTATTTATCTTTACCCTAATGAGGTAGTTACTCACTCTGTTATTCTATTATAGGTTAGGTTGTTAAACGTTCCTTTAATAACATTGAATGCAATGTTACAGGACAACTCTGCCAGCTGTGCGAACTGCTGGGGATGCCGTGGATACTATGGTGAATATAAGCTAGATGGTACTGCTCACATGGAGTTGGTGAGGGAGGGGAATAATCAAACACATGTAAATACATGTGAAATTGTTACTGGTATTATGTGCTTCATAATTCCTTGAAAGGGTGTAGCAATCATCTGGGAATAAGAATCTGAAAAGCCACTATGAGAAAGTGGTCAAAACAGTGACCAGGAGTTAATTAGGGAAAACGGGAAAAGAGAAGGAAAAGAGAGGGGAAGAGAAGAGCATGAATATTTCAGGCTGTGCAAGGCCTGGGATTAGAGTAAACATGGTGTGAGGAAAGCTGTAAATCAGGGTTTCTCAACCTCTGTACTGTTAACATTTTGCTCCAAATGATTCTTTGTTGTCGAGGGCAGCCCAGTGCTCTGTGGGAGGTTTAGCAGCATCCCTGACCTCTAGCAAGTAGATGCCGGTAGCATCCCCCCACCCACCTTGTCACAACATCAGACTTAGGAAATGACTGGTCTAAAGGAAAAGTGATTGAAGTAGCGAGTGCGGGAGCCACATTAAGTGGTGAGGCTGAGCTAAGGCAAGGGCCAGGATACCTTGTCTTGCTGGATTCTGGTGTTGGTTCTAAAAGAAAAGGGAAACCACTGAAGGTTATGAACTAATGAGTGGCATTGACTATTTTCTTTAAAAAAAAAAAAAGGAAAGAAAGAAAGAAAGGAAAAGATTGCTCTGGCTGCTGTGTTAAATCACTTTTTCAAAGTGGAGAAATCCTAACTACCCTAACTCCAGATGCCATGGTATTAATGAGCAGAACTGTCTTCAGGATTTATAGTCCTAATATTTATATCGAGAGCCATTGTATTGTGTGCTGGGACCAAAATCCTGACAAATCTGGCCATTGCTCTGGAATGGAATTTCCAAAGGAATGATAAAATTTTATTGGCTAAAACGAAACAAAGAAGTAAAAATAAAATAAAAACACATTCCCCTCCAAACTAAAATAGCAGCAGCAAAAGGATATAAACCAAAACATCAAGGACTGTACTCTAGAGATGAACAGGCAGCTACACTTTGAAGTTTTCTACTGCATTAGAGAATGTCTGAAATTGCTCATCCAACTATTTACCACCTTCTACAAATAATTTTAGAATGTATTGATGTAGGTACCATCCGTATAACTCAAGATAGACTAATCATATATACTGATTTGCTGGAGATAGTCTCATTGTCCCATTTTACACATGATTTTTCTAGCAGAATTATTAATATGATTACTTTTTCACTCTCAAAAATATCCCAGTTTGATTGATAAATTACATGATTGTACTCTCTAAGCTACACTAGCTATGAAGCTGAGTTTCTAGTCATGAACAATATGCAATAATCTATCACTTTATCTACTTATGATTGTGATTCTTTCATTGAAAAAAATTCTAGTCTCTCTGTTTCTCCTGATACTTTCATTTTTTCCTATCCAAAAGAAATATTACTGTCAAAAATGAGCAAAGTACAAGAATGACTATTAATGTGAAATAAGTCATACAGAAAGACAAATACCATATGATTGTGCTTATATGCAGAATCCAAAGGACAAAATAAATGAACAAACAAAACGGAAACAGACTCGTAGATATGGAGAACAAACTGATGCTTGCCAGAGGGGGGAGGGTTAGGGGGTTGGGTAAAAAAGGTGAAGAGATTAAGAAGTACAAATTGGTAGTTACAAAATAGTCATGGGCATATAAAGTACAGCGTAGCGCCGAAACCGGTTTGGCTCAGTGGATAGAGCTTCGGCCTTCGGACTGAAGGGTCCCAGGTTCGATTCCGGTCAAGGGCATGTACCTTGGTTGCAGGCATATCCCCAGTAGGAGATGTGCAGGAGGCAGCTGATCGACGTTTCTCTCTCATCGATGTTTCTAACTACCTCCCTTCCTCTCTGTAAAAAATCAATAAAATATATATTAAAAAAATAAAGTACAGTGTAGGGAATACAGTCAATGATATTACAATAACTACATATGGTGCCAGGTAGGCACTTGAAATACCAGGGGGAATACTTTGTAAATGATATGGTTGTCTAACCACTATGTTATCCACCTGAAAATAATATAAAATAATATTGATTGTCAACTATAATTAAAAAGTGAAATAAAGAATGTGAATATTAATAATGAGCTGGTTAAGAATGAATTGTTGGATATAGATATTATTCAAGTTCTGCTTTTGTCTATGAAAGCAATTACCATATTTGTTGGATTTTTTCCTCTTTAGCCTCTGCCTTCGTTGAGAAACCAAGCAAGAAAATTGAGCCACATGATTAGATCTTCCATATTGTTTGACATTGAGTTATAAGCCAAGGTATCCTGTAGAAGCCTCTTGGGGGTTTTGAGAACACCAGTAAATTTCACAGCTAGTCAGGTAGGTCTTCCTTTTTGGAAACTTTATTGATTGATTGATTGATTGATTGATCAATCTAGGGATCTATCTATCAATCTTATCTATTTATTTATTTAATGTTGTACCTCTGCACCCCAAAAGAGGTTGAAGTAAGTTATAGTAAAGAAAACTGGAATAATTGATAAATGTGCTGACCTCTGTTAGAGTCATTGAGCTGACTTAATTAGGAATACAAAAACTTACCCAGGTGAAGAGATGATGGACCAGGAAGTGGGCTTGTGACAGCTATCTAGTCCTTCCCTGGAATCTAGTATGTCAATTACCAAAATTGTAACAATAGAAGTAAAGTAATATTTTTAATTAGTTTGATAATCATGCTAGTATACATACTAACACTTTTACATGCTTCAAAAATATTCCTTTTTTTTTTTTTAGGATGGCAGTAAAATTGTATTTAGATATTTTTGAATTACCTTCTTTCCCCTTTGTTTTATCATAAATATGCCCTGGGGAATTGTGCCAGAAAGTTATGGTTTGAACATGGGTAGTTTTCCCCTACTTTCAGCTATATCTACAAGCTCCAAATAAGGTAGGGATTTGGCAGCTGTGAGGGTATCATGTCAAGTTCCACAATGAAACCTGACAATAATGGTAAAACCATTGTAAGTGCTAGAAATATGTTTTCACTACCCCTGGATTATTAATTATGTAACCCCATGTCCCAAATATGACAACTATATTTCCCCCAAATTATCCTTTATCCCTTAGAAAAAGTTTTCTCATCAAAATTTGCTTCTATTATTTAAATTATTTACTCTGAATTATTTTTCTTTGGGAAGACAAAACTTTCAAGTGCCTCATGTTGTTGCCAAAAAAAATTTTTCGATAATTTTTAAAGTCATACTGTAAGTATTTTTATTGTACAGGTCACAAATATCCTTCTAAATAACAAAGACATTTATAATATTAGGTGAATGGATACTGTGGTTTGGAATACGAATTTCAATGACATTAATGGAAGTTTTATATCTCAAATAACTTAGAAGGGGAGATAATGTAAAAACAAACAAACAAACAAACAAAAAAAAAACCATCATCAGAGGACTGGGCCTTAGTGATGGCAGAGCACCTGTGCTAAAGATGAAAGTGAAGCATTTGAAATATTTGACACCTAACACCTATGCATACTTACACCTATGCAGAGCCAGGCACTGCTCTAAGCATTTTGTACCTTTTAACTTAATTACTTTTCCTAACAACCCAATAAGGTAGGTACTATATATTTGACATACGATGAAACTGAGAGCAGAGTGGTTACATAACTTGTCAAACATTAGGCTAGGAAATAGTAGACCTGAGGTTTGAACCCAGACAGTCTGGCTCCCAAGTCTTTGTGGTAAACCACTAGACTGTATGATTATTATTGTTATCCTATCTAATAAAAGAGAAACATGGTAATTAGCCATACGGCCGCTACCCTTCACATTGACTAATCAGTGAGATATGCAAATTAACTGCCAACCAAGATGGCGGCCGGCAGCCAGGCAGCTGATGCGAACAGGGAGGCTTGCTTGCTTCAGTGACGGAGGAAGCCAA